GTTACATGAAAAATATCTTCATGTTATGATTTGTATTTAAATAAGACCGTTTCATCTAAATACTTGGATAATATTTCATAAAAATGCAATCAAAAATATTTCAGGATTTGCCTTAATTTATCAATGTAATGTAAGTATTAGATTGACTCTCAAATAGGGTTCTATTTTAACTTTTTTATTGAAATAAATACTAGGCAGGACTCACTCTCTAAATAGCTAATAAAAATTCAACCCTTGGATGTGATTTCGTAGAAAAAAAAATATGTCAAGTCCAGAATCAAATGATTTGTCCAGAACCTCTTAAGATTCTGTTCAAATTGAACTTTTTAATACACTGATGTACTTGAAGCACATCACATACTATATCCCAATAAAAATTCAATTCAATTCAATTCAGCTTTATTTTCTTATATAGTATTATTTACAAGGTTTTACATGACACCCTTGTGGGTGTATACAGTATAAAGAATATGTTGTTTGAATAGTAGGTATATGGTAATCAGCTGATCCAATGATGAACACTTACTAAGACTAACTATAACTAGTACACATTTAAATTGAAACATACTCATGAGCGAAGTTTAACCTTTCAATGTAAGGATGTACTTTGAACATCATAAATAATGTGCCAAATTAAACTATACTAATGCGCCAAATTGAACTTTTTAATATACTGATGTACTTGGAGCACATCACATACTATGTCCCAAATTGAAGCATACTCATGAGCCAAGTTTAATCTTTCAATGTAAGGATGTACTTTGGATATCATAAATAATGCGCCAAATTGAACTATGATAATGCACCAAATTGAAATTTTTAATATACTGGTGAACTAACTGCACATCACATACTATGTCCAACATTGAAACATACTCATGAGCCAAGTTTAACCCTTTAATGTAAGGATGTACTTTGAACATCGTAAATAACGCGCCAAATTGAACTATGATAATGCGCCAAATTATACTTTTTAACATACTGATGAACCTGGAGCACATCACATACTATGTCCCATTGAAACATACTCATGAGCAAAGTTTAACCTTTCAATGTAAGGATGTACTTTGAACATCATAAATAACGCGCAAAATTGAACTTTTTAATAAACTGATGAACTTACAGCACATCACATACTATGTCCCAAACTGAAACATACTCATGAGCCAAGTTTAACCTTTCAATGTAATGATGTACTTTGAACATCATAAATAATGCGACAAATTGAACAATGATAATGCGCCATATTGAACTTTTTAATATACTGATGAACTTGGAGCACATCACATATTGTGTCCCATTGAAACATACTCATGAGCCAAGTTTAACCTTTTAATATAATGATGTATTTTGAACATCATAAATAATGTGCCAAATTGAACTATACTAATGAGCTAAATTGAACTTTTTAATATACTGATAAACTTAGAGCATGTCACAGATTATTTCCCAAATTGAAACATACTCATGAGCCAAATTTAACCTTTCAATGTATGGATGCACTTTGAATATCATAAATAATGCGCCAAATTGAAATATACTAATGCGCCAAATTGAACTTTTTAATATACTCATGTACCTGGAGCACATGACATACAATGTCCCAAATTGAAACATACTCATGAGACAAGTTTAACATTTCAATATAAAGGATATACTTTGAACATCATAAATAACGCGCCAAATTGAACTATGATAATGCGCCAAATTGAACTTTTTAATATACTGATGTACTTGGAGCACATGACATACAATGCCTCAGATTGAAACATACTCATGAGCCAAGTTTAACCTTTCACTGTAAGGATGTACTTTGAACATCATAAATAATGCGCCAAATTGAACTATACTAATGAGCCAAATTGAACTGTTTAATATACTGATGAACTTAATTAGAGCATGTCACAGACTATTTCCCAAATTGAAACATACTCATGAGCCAAGTTTAGCCTTTCAATGTAAGGATGTACTTTGAACATCATAAATAATGCGACAAATTGAAATATACTAATGTGCCTAATTGAACTTTTTAATATACTGATGTACCTGGAGCACGTGACATACTATGTCCCAAATTGAAACATACTCATGAGACAAGTTTAACCTTTCAATGTAAGGATGTTCTTTGAACATCATAAATAACGCGCCAAATTGAACTATGATAATGCGCCAAATTGAACTTTTTAATATACCGACAAACTTAGAGCATATCACATACTACGTCCCAAATTGAAACACTCAAGAGCCAAGTTTAACCTTTCAATATAATGATGTATTTTGAACATCATAAATAACTCGCCAAATTGAGCTATACCATTGCGCCAAATTGAACTTTATATACCAAACCTCCAATTTACCGAGACACAAATACAAATCAGCACAAAATGACAACAAATAAGAGGCTGAAAACCTTTTCAGAATTTGGTGTTAAGATTAGAGAAGTGTTCAGATATGCAAATTTTACAGTGCTTACCTCAATGCAGAATAAGTTCCTATGGAGAGAAACCAGAAGTCTGGATCGTTGTAGAGATATACAGAGGAGGTACAGGAGGGTAGGATATCCAACACACCAACGGCCACTAACTTCCCATCTAACCAATATTGTTGATGAAATGAACCATAGCCTTCTGGGAAGCCACCTGCCTTATGTTCCTCCTGTGTAAAATAAATTATTTCTTAAAATACTGATTTTTGATTTTTGTATGTTTATGGATGGATATCAATACCTTCACTCAATCGCTTCGCTCACTTGTGAAGATATAGATATCCCCTCATGGATATAAATGATATTTTTTCAAAACCATAGAATATTCCTATATTATTTTCTATGAATAACAAATTGATTTTTTATTTTTGTACAATTAATCTTTGAAGCACATCACATACTATATCCCAATAAAAATTCAATTCAATTCAATTCAGCTTTATTTTCTTATATAGTATTATTTACAAGGTTTTACATGACACCCTTGTGGGTGTATACAGTATAAAGAATATGTTGTTTGAATAGTAGGTATATGGTAATCAGCTGATCCAATGATGAACACTTACTAAGACTAACTATAACTAGTACACATTTAAATTGAAACATACTCATGAGCGAAGTTTAACCTTTCAATGTAAGGATGTACTTTGAACATCATAAATAATGTGCCAAATTAAACTATACTAATGCGCCAAATTGAACTTTTTAATATACTGATGTACTTGGAGCACATCACATACTATGTCCCAAATTGAAGCATACTCATGAGCCAAGTTTAATCTTTCAATGTAAGGATGTACTTTGGATATCATAAATAATGCGCCAAATTGAACTATGATAATGCACCAAATTGAAATTTTTAATATACTGGTGAACTTACTGCACATCACATACTATGTCCAAAATTGAAACATACTCATGAGCCAAGTTTAACCCTTTAATGTAAGGATGTACTTTGAACATCGTAAATAACGCGCCAAATTGAACTATGATAATGCGCCAAATTATACTTTTTAACATACTGATGAACCTGGAGCACATCACATACTATGTCCCATTGAAACATACTCATGAGCAAAGTTTAACCTTTCAATGTAAGGATGTACTTTGAACATCATAAATAACGCGCAAAATTGAACTTTTTAATAAACTGATGAACTTACAGCACATCACATACTATGTCCCAAACTGAAACATACTCATGAGCCAAGTTTAACCTTTCAATGTAATGATGTACTTTGAACATCATAAATAATGCGACAAATTGAACAATGATAATGCGCCATATTGAACTTTTTAATATACTGATGAACTTGGAGCACATCACATATTATGTCCCATTGAAACATACTCATGAGCCAAGTTTAACCTTTTAATATAATGATGTATTTTGAACATCATAAATAATGTGCCAAATTGAACTATACTAATGAGCTGAATTGAACTTTTTAATATACTGATAAACTTAGAGCATGTCACAGACTATTTCCCAAATTGAAACATACTCATGAGCCAAATTTAACCTTTCAATGTATGGATGTACTTTGAATATCATAAATAATGCGCCAAATTGAAATATACTAATGCGCCAAATGGAACTTTTTAATATACTCATGCACCTGGAGCACATGACATACAATGTCCCAAATTGAAACATACTCATGAGACAAGTTTAACATTTCAATATAAGGATATACTTTGAACATCATAAATAACGCGCCAAATTGAACTATGATAATGCGCCAAATTGAACTTTTTAATATACTGATGTACTTGGAGCACATGACATACAATGCCTCAGATTGAAACATACTCATGAGCCAAGTTTAACCTTTCACTGTAAGGATGTACTTTGAACATCATAAATAATGCGCCAAATTGAACTATACTAATGAATTGACAAATTGAACTGTTTAATATACTGATGAACTTAATTAGAGCATGTCACAGACTATTTCCCAAATTGAAACATACTCATGAGCCAAGTTTAGCCTTTCAATGTAAGGATGTACTTTGAACATCATAAATAATGCGACAAATTGAAATATACTAATGTGCCTAATTGAACTTTTTAATATACTGATGTACCAGGAGCACGTGACATACTATGTCCCAAATTGAAACATACTCATGAGACAAGTTTAACCTTTCAATGTAAGGATGTTCTTTGAACATCGTAAATAACGCGCCAAATTGAACTATGATAATGCGCCAAATTGAACTTTTTAATATACCAACAAACTTAGAGCATATCACATACTACGTCCCAAATTGAAACACTCAAGAGCCAAGTTTAACCTTTCAATATAATGATGTATTTTGAACATCATAAATAACTCGCCAAATTGAGCTATACCATTGCGCCAAATTGAACTTTATATACCAAACCTCCAATTTACCGAGACACAAATACAAATCAGCACAAAATGACAACAAATAAGAGGCTGAAAACCTTTTCAGAATTTGGTGTTAAGATTAGAGAAGTGTTCAGATATGCAAATTTTACAGTGCTTACCTCAATGCAGAATAAGTTCCTATGGAGAGAAACCAGAAGTCTGGATCGTAGTAGAGATATACAGAGGAGGTACAGGAGGGTAGGATATCCAACACACCCACGGCCACTAACTTCCCATCTAACCAATATTGTTGATAAAATGAACCATAGCCTTCTGGGAAGCCACCTGCCTTATGTTCCTCCTGTGTAAAATAAAGTATTTCTTAAAATACTGATTTTTGATTTTTGTATGTTTATGGATGGATATCAATACCTTCACTCAATCGCTTCGCTCACTTGTGAAGATATAGATATCCCCTCATGGATATAAATGATATTTTTTCAAAACCATAGGATATTCCTATATTATTTTCTATGAATAACAAATTGATTTTTTATTTTTGTACAATTAATCTTTGACAGTAGTGTTACATAATCTTGTCAAACTTTTATCTTGAAACATAAAGTGATTATTTGAATAAAAATATTCTGCCAATAAAGATATTACCTTTAACGGCGAATCACATAAAAATTGAGTGAAGCCTTTATGATCGCAATCTCCTTCTTCATCTTTATGTATAATCATCTGATACTTTTTGTAAACTTCAAATGGAACGTCAAAACTCTCTTTGAATGCTTCACTTCCTGGATTGGACCGAAGGAGCCTAATCTAAGAAAAAGAACAAAAAGAGCATATATACCTCAAGTGGCGAGTCTACCAGAAATCGTGTAAATTGTTTCTTAGAAGGCTTTTCAGGCGGGTCCTTGTGGATCACCATTTGGTATTTTTTGTACACTAGATAGGATTCTTGGAATGTTTCTTCAAATTCATTGATTCTTGGATTTGATCGGACCAGTTTTATCTAGAAAATACATAAATTGTTGATTGTTTATATCTGACAAGTCTGAATCGTTTCACTTGATTTGAACCTCATCCCCATAGCAACATAAACATCGCAGTCTCATCTTCCTAGCAACATATACATTGCAGTCTCATTCCCCATAGTAGTAACATATACATGTACATAGCAGTCTAATTTCCATATTATTATATACATAGCAGTCTTATTACCATAACAACATATACATAACAGTATCACTACCATAGCAACATATACATAGCACTCACATCGCCATAGCAACATAAATATACAAATACAAGTAGCAGTCTAATCACCAAAGAACATTTACAGAGCAGCCTCAATACCATAGCAACAAATATGTTGCAATCTCACTCATCCCCACAGCAACTATAGCAGTTTCGTCACCATAGTAACATATAGCAGTACCAGTACCCCTTAGCAACATAAATATTTAGGTCTCATCCAACATAGGAACATATACACAGCAGTCTCATCCCCATGGCAACATTAACATGGAAGTCTCATCCCAATAGCAACCTTTACACTGCAGTCTAATCCTCATCTAGCAAAATATATAAACAGAGCAGTTTCATCTCCATAGCAATAAACATAAATGTCTCATCCCCATAGTAACATATGAAGCAAAGGCTATTGATAGTGAAAGTGACAGATTGTCATGATGATTGTCAAAAATTATGTTTATTTATGCTAACCTTTTACCTAAAACAAAAACAACTAAAACAAGTACAAGGGCCTTTAGATCAGACATTACCAATATATTAAATATCTCAAAGGAGAAGTGAAGATATCGATATCCACTCATGGATATAAATGATATTTTTTCAAAACCAAAGGATATTCTAATTTATCCCATGGTTGCAAGGATATAGATCGAATATCACATGAAGATATATTTGATATGTGGATCAAGATATCATATTTTAGCAAAAAATTCACAAACCATCGAATATCACTTTTTAACTATCGAATATCACGTCTTAGAAAGTGATATTCGATGGTTTGAAAAGTGATATTCGATGGTTTGAAAAGTGATATTCGATGGTTTCGAATTTTTTCAAAAAAAATTCTTTTTACATTTTTTAATTATTTTCAAAAATATTTTTAAAAAATTCAAAATTTCAAAAAAAAATTCAACATTTTTTCACATTTTTTTTCATTTTTTCAAAGTTGTTCTCAAATTATATTTTTCAACTTTTTTCGCTGATGATGATTTTCCATGGGATAAACGGACAATCCTATGGCTTTTCAAAAATATCAATTATATCCACTCATGGATACAAATATCTTCACTCATTCGCTGCGCTCACTCATGAAGATATCAATATCCACTCATGGATATAAATGATATTTTTTCAAAACCATAGGATATTCCTATAATACTCTGGAAAACCAATATACGGAGGGTATTGGGATGATATACTTAGCTTGATGATTTCCAACGGAATTGAACTATTTGAAATTAAAATTTAATTATATTATACATTTAGTACGCTACTAATAAGTGTAGGATCCTATCCTATGATTTTTTCAGAATATCATTATAATCTACTTGGTGATATTGATATATCAGTATACAAGTATGCACTCGTTCGCTTCACTCGTAGATAAAAATGATTTAGTCAAAAAATCATAGGATATCCTATAATTATTTTCTATGAATATAAAATTGTTTTTTAATTTTTGTACAATTAATTAATAACAGTAGTGTTACATAATATTGTACAACTTTTATCCTGAAACATAAGGTGATTATTTGAATAAAAATATTCTGCAAATAAAGATATTACCTTTAATAGCGAATCACATAAAAATTGAGTGAAGCCTTTACGATCGCAATCTCCTTCTTCATCTTTATGTATAATCATCTGATACTTTTTGTAAACTTCAAATGAAACGTCAAAACTCTCTTTGAATGCTTCACTTCTTGGATTTGACCGAATGAGCCTAATCTAAGAAAAAAAGAACAAAAAGAGCAAATATACCTCAAGTGGCGAGTCTACCAGAAATCGTGTAAATTGTTTCTTAGAAGGCTTTTCAGGCGGGTCCTTGTGGATCACCATTTGGTATTTTTTGTACACTAGATAGGATTCTTGGAATGTTTCTTCAAATTCATTGCTTCTTGGATTTGATCGGACCAATTTTATCTAGAAAAACATAAATTGTTGATTGTTTATATCTGACAAGTCTGAATCGTTTCACTGGATTTGAACCTAATCCCCATAGCAACATAAACATCGCAGTCTCATCTTCCTAGCAACATATACATTGCAGTCTCATTCCCCATAGTAACATATACATGTATTTAGCAGTCTAATTTCTATATTATTATATACATAGCAGTCTTATTACCATAACAACATATACATAACAGTATCACTACCATAGCAACATATACATAGCACTCACATCGCCATAGCAACATAAATATACAAATACAAGTAGCAGTCTACTGGACGTATGAAAAACTGATGTACAGTAAAGCTATGTATGAATGTGAAAATGTATGAAAAGGGGATGAATTGTGAAACAAAAACAAAAACAACTAAAACAAGTACAAGGGCCTTTAGATCAGACATTACCAATATATTAAATATCTCAAAGGAGTAGGCCCAACATGGCAAGAGATTTTCGGACAGCTGTATTTTTGAACACAGGTATTTCCCGACCATACAATGGACATTTTATATTAAAACAATATCTTAACTTCAACAAAAGTGCATGAAAAAAATAAAAAACTCATATTAATAATGAGATTAGCCATGGATTAGTAACCAACTCTCAATAATATTGACCTTATTACTGAAAAAGATGACCATGATTTTTCATATTTTTTGCAGTATAAGATTACACTGTAATGTAGCATTCACTTCATATAAGGGCATATGGATTGAAAAGTTGATATGAAAGTAACATAGGAATGAGGATTATCCAATGGGAAATTCCATGTTATGGAGTTCGCCCTGTCCATCTTTGAAAGTTCTGATTGCCCATCTGCCATCTTTGAGAAAATCGATGCATTAATGAATGAACATTTGTAAATGTATGTATGTGTGGACACCTAATGAATGCATGACAGTTTGCTAGGTCATGGGATACCAATGTCATCCATTATTTATGTGAGTGGATTTAATTCAATACCAGAGTATCCAATGAGGCATGAATATAATAACATTGACCTATGACTTATACTGGACGTATGAAAAACTGATGTACAGTAAAGCTATGTATGAATGTGAAAATGTATGAAAAGGGGATGAATTGTGAAACTGCTTTTGGTAACAGTTCCACAATTTGTCATCCTTTTTTCAATCTCTGACAATACCGCATGTGCTACTCTGACATAACAATACCACATTTGTTACTCTGAAATTGCAATACCACATGAATTTTTCTCCATTGTAATATCTCAAGAGCTCCTCTCAGGACATTGCAATACCACATGCGTTAATCTCACATTGTAATACCACAAGTAAAGAGCTACTCTGAGGAAAGTTCAATTGAGTCTCATTAGGTACCAATAAAACATAAAATGACCCATTGAAATTTACTAGTATGTGATTCTGTTGTCCTATTGAAGTTTTCAAGACTCAGTCGGATTTTGTAGTACTGAAACTCCACTGGCAAATATATACACTTACTAAAGTCCCACAGAAACAAGGAGTATATTCCTTATTTCCATGGTTTTACTTTTCAATATAGACTCCTCAAAAAGTTAAGGACCAGTGGTTTTCTTCATAGGTTTACATGTTAACCCCCATATTTGTTTGAACGACTATTCTCTAAACGTGGAACAAAAGAAATCCCAATAAAGAAAATAAATCTGTATCTTGATTCTATTCCCTATAAAGTTCGCAACATTTCAATGTTATATCTCCATTACATTGGGTCAAAATTTGATGTCAAAATTAATGAATGGTTGGGTTGCCATAAGTCATATGAGGAACGATCCATCCATCCGATTGCTCTCAAAATTGAAATTGTAAGAGATAATTAAATTTGGTAAATTGTCCACTCGACAAAAATGTGATTTAATTGTCCAGGCTTTACAAAAGTTAATGGTTTCAAATTCAATAATTTTTTAATGATCCTCTTATTGAAATAACACAGGTGGTTCAGTGAGGTGGTCAAAATTACTTTAACGCTCCGTATCGCTAATTTTAACAACATAAGCGAGACATTTAGCATGTAAAATGTAAAATCATTCAATTTTCTACTTAGAAAGTATTCTTAATAAATGTTTTACTGAATAGATATTTCAAAATCTTAGTTGCCCCTAAGCCACCATTCCCCATTTGTTTAACATGGGATCTACCATTTTTGTTAAATTACATGAAATCAATTTTGACATCAGATTTTGACCCAATGTAATGGAGATATAACATTGAAACGTTGCGGACTTTATAGGGAATAGAATTAAGATACAGATTTATTTACTTTATTGGGTTTTCTTTTGTTCTCCGCTTAGAAAATAGTCGTTCAAACAAATATGGGGGTTAACATGTAAACCTATGAGGAAAACCACTGGTCCTTAACTTTTTTTGAGGAGTATACTTCACAAAAGTATTTTACATGTATGGCATGGTACATTGACATAATCACTGACCTTGTACTCCAGTAAAACATCAAAAATAAATGAAAAAATTGCAATACTTATTAAACCTAGTGCAACAAATGCATATTGATGAGTTTAAAGACATACCAAAAATATAGAAAAATCTAAGTTGTGGAAAATATGTAAAAATCACTATTTGTACCCCCTGGTATTATTTTATGAGGGGTACTTGTTGGGTGCCCCTAATTACATTCAAATTTGAGGGATTATGCATCGATATATAGTTAATTGTCATGAAGTTTGATTTTGAATCGTCAATTGGTTACCATGGCAACACAATTTAATGGCAAAATATTGTAAATATTAAGGATAAATCTACTGTTTCCCTACAAACAGATGGCAGGTTGTCATTTTTTATTTTTCAAAATG